ATGCCACCAGGGATCAGACAACAGCAGCTTTCAAAAAGTTGGTACCATACATTAAAACCAATTACATAGGCTTACTGTATGTCATTTTTAAGCCTGTGGATAAATTACAAATTCCTGAAAACAGTAGCTTATAATGGAAGTGCTGACACAACCTTAACTACAGCAGCAAATGCGCTGCTATTATGATGTTGTTATGGCAACTAGAATGATCAAGTTCGGAGAGAAAGAGGAAGAGTGCACATAAGCAAAACTTAAAAATCTTTGGCACCACCCTCCACAAACTCTTCCAAAATTTGTGGTCACAATGTTATCACTCCTTACCTTTACAACAAAAATTTAACTACAAATCTTCCCTTTAACACAGGTGAGGGGCGAGAGGCTCCACATTAGTGTAAAATCTAAGACAAATTAAATCCAAGGTCATAATCCATCTAGTGCATGCACATATCAATAGTCTGCAAAAACAGAGCCAGTTGAAAGATAACTGTAGCATCCACTGAGCACATATTCATTGGATATCACAAGTTAACAAACCACAATTATGCAAAACCATTCAATCTTTGATATAGTTTCATAATTTGTTACCAATCTGAATAGTTTAGTAAGAGTACCTTGCTGTAATTTGAATAAATCAGACAGCAAATTCACGTACACTGATCCATTAATTAAAATGTGATGGAAAATAGAATTGAAGCTTGTATATTTATGAAATGGTCATTATTGATCCTTCCTAATACTGTTAGACAAAATTAGAAATCTTTATGTGTTTCCAGAATTAAATAATGGAAAAAAAAAAATCACAAGGCAGTTACATTTTAATACACAAAAATTAACAAAGTGTCATTTAAAAAACATAATTAAAACCTGTGCCAGCGTTCTAGTCACCTTTCTCAAAAAAATTTTAGAGTTTAATTGCAAGTATTATTCTAGTAAAATTTCACTGCATAAAATTTCCAACGAAATGTTAGTATCAACCAGCAGCCCTAGAAATAATTTTAAATCACCATTATTATACATTTTTATTAAAGCATTCTGTCCAAATACATCTAATAGCAACACTTCCACTAGAAAAGTGAAAAACTAATTGCCTTTCTTCGCAAAGGATTTCATATTAAAGCCACTGTCTCAAGTTGACTGCCATAACTAAAATCTAGGGAACACAAAAGCCCTCAGATGTCTGACATGATAAGAGTTGTGCTAAGTACTTATACTCACTCATTTCCTAGGTAACAAAAACTCCTTTTCTTCTAAGTTACCTCAAGCCATTTTTCTTTTGAGTTTGTTGTTCTAAACCAGTTTTCAGACTACAGGGAAGACACATTTTATGAAGAATAGTCTCATTTTAAGAAATGCAAAAGTATGTATTTTCACTTAGAGCTAGCAGATATTCCTTTTAAATTCAAAATAATTTTAAGATTCAGGTTACCATGCTTTTAAGTCAAAAATTACTCAGTGTTAATTATCTGCAAAATTGATGGCAAAATTTTTAAACTTTGAAGACTGTTTTCATTTATACAGACATTTATAGGCTATTTTTTTTAAGAAACATACAATGTATTCTATATTGGGCACTGAAAATTACAGTTTTGCAGATTAATTTAGCTGGAACATAATCCCATATTCCACTGACAAAATAGAATTATTTAATCAGTAATAGCAAATAATTATTGATATGAGGTTACAACAAACCCTCCTCTCCCCTCCCGTCAAAAAAAAAAAAAAAAAGGTGAAAGAAAAAAAAAAAGGCTGAAGAATAAGGAAAATAATTTTGTTCACAAAAGCGAGAACTACTTGCAGGCAACAAAAGAAGCGGCAATAATGATGACATTTTCTTCAGAACATTAGCTCTTCAGCAATTTAAAAATTCTGATAAATACACCACTTTTCTCTGAAAAGCAACCACTACAGTTATCAACTCATTTGAAACAGGTAATCATACAGATCTATAAAAGCTGAATGACAACATTCAGAAGAAGGGTAAAAATGGGATTTCCATGTGTATAGCTATAGTTAAATAAATGATAAATACTTGATAACATTCTGAGAAAGGAAAATGCTTAGAAGTGTTCTCTGACACTGTCTTTTAATTTATTTTTAAAAATTTATTTGCAGTACTAACATTAGCGGTTACTACACACATTTATAATTTGTAGAAACATTTCACTGAGATATGGCTTTACTGATCACTCAGTTTTATCAGAAAAATGTTTTTCCTGATACATTTGACAAATTACTTTCATACAGTAGGGGTAATACTCAGCCTTTTCAACTTGAAGAATATGTAATTATTAATCATTAATGCATTAACATAGACAGTGTTCAATACTATTTGCAAAGCTATCAGCTTTGATTCTGTAAATATCAAATCTCACTAAGATTGCAACAGAATTTCAGTGAGCTTTCACCTGGAATACTCATGTACTTAAAAAAAGCTCGCTTCTGTGCTGCTCACTCCCTATGCAACTTTTAAAAAGCAGTCTTCCTAAAACAGGTATGGGCTTTATTCACCCTAGATCTGATTTTCAGGTGCAGAGTTTCAATACACTGTTAATGAAAGCTACATAGTTATTTTGAGCTTTTTGCCTATCATGTGTACATGCATAACACCACTCAAAAAACAGAGGAAACTGAAACCGAATTCTGTTCAAGAAGTACAAGACTTTTCCCTCACTAAAATTAATTTTCCTCTTATCAGAAAACAACATGCCTGTGAACCAAATGAAATGAAGCAGAGGGTTGCAACCAGTCCCCTGTGATTCCTTACTCCTGCTTTAGAGGTATGAGAACTTCATGTCCGCTGACGTTCTTTATGGATGTGGAATCCCTCACCACGCCATTCTGCGAGTGCAAGATAAACAAACTCCGCAAGAATTAATCACGTACTACAGCACTGACTGTCACATAGTAGACATCCAGTCACAAGACAGACTATCAACCCTAGGGATTTTATAGCTGTGCACGCTTGAAGCTTTTGCTACTTCAGCCATACCAGCAACATTCTCCACTGGAGATGTTGCTTATGCCCTTTAGTTACGCAGCTTATATATATATAGCCTATTCCTGCTGTAGCTTGACCAAACAGAAAAGATTTTTAGAACACCTTGCTAAAAATACAATTCCTCTTCTTTGTGCTATATTGAAGGTTGAAAATTTTAACCAGCCTTGTCTTTAGAATCTAAATTCTTAACACTAATCATATCCTTATCTTAGGCTCAGGTTGCACCCCAAGATGTCAGGATCCCTGTCATGCCCTAAATTTTAACATGCTGCTTCATTCAAATTTACTTTAATCTCCAGGCTTGAGACAGCAGAATATTTTTGATACTAACATACAAATTTCAACTTACCAATTTCTGAAGAGGGAAAAAAACTGGGGTTTACACATATACATGTGTGTGCGCTCGCATATATGTGCATATATAAAGGGCTCAATTATTTTGTGCTTCAGGACTTCTTTGGGGATAATCACAGAGTAGTTATTTGAGTGCCTTGTTTTGGGATTTGCAAGGGGGAAGCAAACTGGGGCTAGTGTTTGTTCTTTGTCTCCTGAAAGATTATCTGAGCATACAAACTCCATAAAGTTATCTTATTGCTACACAAACAAAGATTGCACCTTGTCAGACTTCCAAACTCTTGGAAGGGTTTCATAAGAATCAGCACTCTTACAAAATAGCCTAATAAATTTAGGACACTTTCAGTTCAGGCTAGGCTACCAACTCCAGATATGCATTGTATGCTTAAGGACAGAAATCATGAGACAGAAAGTGTTAATATATTTCAGAAAGTATATCTCATTCCAGTACTTTCAGCATGGACTTTACATCATGTACCCATTGTATCCTTGGCAACTCAACTCCTTATCTAAAGAGACAAGACTGACAACTTAGATTTAAAGTTACAGCCATCATATGCTACTAGGCTTGGATTGGGTCTGGAGCTAGACAGGACGCAAGACAGACGCCAAAGGTATTCAAAAAGTTATTTGATGTGATAAGAGCATAACTGTGCTCATCGTTATTGACTGGATAAACCAAAAAATGCTCTCCATCATTTCATGAAGATAACTTTGCTGTTTCAATGAAACGAGGGCAAATTACGAGAGAAGTTTTTTATACTTAGAATAAACAAGTACAAACCTGTAGAAGTAGCCCCTTCTCCCACCATCTTTTTAGTGTGGTTCATGTTTCAGCCCAGTTCTAAAGTAAAGAATCTATTTTCTTTCCCTCATCATTTTATTTCTTCTTTACCGTCAATGTACAGAAGACAAAAAAAAAAAAAAATGATTGTAAGCATTTTCTTGTCAATAAATTAAAAATAAAAGTTACAGTAAATAAGGTTCCAATGGGAAAAAAAAACCCAAAACTATATTCTAAAGAAAAGTTCCAAATGATGCATTATTTTCCCCACAATCAGCATGCGTTGCCCGTAACAACATCAGTACAGTGAATGAAGATTTTACCCATCATATTTTAGGACAGATTTATGAAGAAGCTCTTCATAATGCTACATCAAGTGAGTTTTTCAATATATATGTATTTCCTACATATTAACCTCAAGAGCATATTTAACTAACATTAAATCAGACAATTTAAATTTCTAAACTAATTAGAAATGGATTTGTGAGTCAGAAAGCCTTTGTTTGACACAAAGTGTGTAATGAGTCTGAACATCATCTTCATACACAGAGTCTTTTGAAAAACATTTTTTTTAAACACCAAGGTTTCCTGGGGGAGGGGGGAGAGACAAACCCCCCATTAATGTGTAGGCTTAATCCGCACATTAAGTTATAAATGAAAAACCGCAAGACGACAGCCAGGTTCCCCAAATGAAAAGCTACATGAAGCAAAACAAAAACTACTATTTTTAAAGCAAATCTTTTGGAACATCTTTTTGATAAAATGCTAGCTATGAATAGACCTTAACCTGAATGGCATTTTTAACCCTATACATGACATCTACCATGTCAAAACAACTCTGGTCTGTTTTACCTGATTATATCCAAAACCAGCAGTTTTTTCCTGGATTCATTTCTTGATGACAAGCTGTTCAAACACAGAGCACCTATCAAACCTAGTATTATCATCTGCTGCTTTTTTCTTCTAGTAGACACTGCTGTCCATCAGAAGAAATAATTAATGGGTCTATTATGTATGAGAGCGTCATCCTGTCAGCTCAGTGACTAGTTTGAATAGCTCATATCTGCTACTCATTGATGCCATGCGTGCTCACTGTCCTGAGAGATGACAAAACACTACACCCTTTGGGATTTTTTTCCCCCTCTGTTCTAAAGCAGCATTTCACATCTGTGTCTGACAGAAGCATAAGGAGCTGAGAGAGGCAGACTTCATCATCTTTCACAGATTAATGTCGCATGGGTTAAAAGTTAAGATCTGATGTCTACTGATGCTGCTATTTCCTACAAAAATCTAAAATGTGGAGGCTACCAAAACGTGTAGGGAAATAACTTTTCAGGGTTGGAGTAGCTACAGAGAACAGATGGAATTTACTGGATACTAAATCTTTACATGATTTTTAAATGGTTGCTGAGTTAATTGGGGTCAGTGCATTTGTCTTTTTTTTCTTTCCCCCCCTTTTTAGGGGGGGCAGAGAAGATGCAAAGTTTACAGGTTCTTTTCTGTTACCTGGCTAGGGCAGAATAAACAAAGATGCTGAATGTGGAAGAAAGCAGATATTGGAGATATCTGGAAATAAACTGGAAACAACCAATACCACAAGACGAAGCAGCAGTGAACAACAAGACGCTGTGGAAAAAGAAATCACAAGACGAGAGTGCACAATGCATTTCAAATAGAAAAAAGCTTCCTCTCTGCTGAGTGAGTCTCAGTATATTCTGACAGAGCACAGATAAAGCTTCAATCAAGTATCTCCTACGTAAGTTTTTATTTCATATAATTCATATAATTGTTTATTATAACAGTATATACTTTAATGTATGCACAGTAATTCAATGAATTTAAATTTCTTTATACTGATACTTAAGTTTAAATCCCTCTATGGCAAATATTGGTGTTAGATACTGCTCAAATAACAGCTCTCTTTTGATATTGAGGTTATTCAAAGGAAGACTATTAAGTGCTTTCTCTCTTGACTTATACTAGAGTGAAATATTTCCTAAGATTTAAATTCTTCAAAATATTTTAATACATATTTCCATGCATGACTGTTTAAGAAAAAAAAAAAATCAATAAAAAGCAATGCTGCTGTTAATATTACCAAAACACATTTACTGTACTTTATTATCTTTTTAATCTGGCAAAGCAAACAATATTTTGCAGCATAGCAGTAAATGTAGAAGGATGTCTTTTATTATAGGATAATGAATATTTGTTTATGTAAAAGGATATTAAATAAAGCTAGAAGTGTTGATTAGTTATCTATCAAAGGTAAATTGGAGCACTGTAAGGAAACAGCCCCATGTTAATACACCCCGAGATACTGTGTACAGAGTTTCAACAAGAAGACTGGACATCAGTGCCCCAGTAAAACTATTAAAAAAAAAAAAAAAAAAAAAAAAAAAAAAAAAAAAAAAAAAAAAAAAAAAAAAAAAAAAAAAAAAAAAAAAAAAAAAAAAAAAAAAAAAAAGGTGCAGGTCACCTCAGTTAGTTTACGCATTTGGAGCATCTGCTACATAAGCCACATAGACATGAATCCTACATGGAAAAAACATGCAAAACACCTTAGAAGAAGATTCTAACATCTAATAGGGCTTGAAAAATAAACACAGTATCTGTTAATCAAAAAACTATACTTATAAGCCATGGAGAAAGGTATCTGTGCTCACACACACAAAAAAACCCCACACCCCTTTAAACTGAAAAGCACAAATAGCCCTATACTGTTTAATAGTATCACATTTATAGTATCACATTGGTCAATTTCATATGTAATATTAGCTTCGAAAACCCACATCTTTATTTCTACTGTCTTTTACTGATTTCACACCATTTTTTCTGTTTACTAAGACATAATGTTTTTACCAGCATTGTTTTAGGTATCTTTCTTCTGCTTCTCTCTATATGACTTCCCTCATTTCTATTTAGCATATTTTTCTTATTTAACGTATCCATCAACCCTTTTCCTGTTTTTTTTTCTTGCTTTCTTGCCTAACTTAGTAAAATAATCTCTCTCATGCCTGATGCTTGCTAAAGACAGACTAATTTGCCTTTTACAAACACCTTTTTTGAACCTTTCACTTATGCACAAAAGGTTTATTAATTGTATCAAGTGCTAGAAGACTAAACTTACTTGCCCAAGACTAATAGAATATCATGAAACTAAAAACCAGAAGTTGATGCTATGCTGAACCTTGTCTCATGTCAAGAGTCAACAACATACTCCCAAAATAATGGAATTCCTACCAGGAAAAATATGTGAAACAGCTTCTACAGGAGAGGAGTCGTCTCATGCATATTACTGTAGAATATTTTATATATTTGAAATTACTCCTACAAGATCCCACTCTTTACTACCATGATGGGGGGGGAAAGCCATTTCATATTCTCTAAATATTCGTGCTTAAGTGAATTCTGCTTAATACAAGCAAAGAAGTTTCCATTATTCTAACCCTTTTCCATTTTCCCACTTCCTGTATTTGATGAGAACTTGAGAGGAATTTTTCCTAGTACACCTATCACTTAGCCATTTTGTTGCTGACAGGTTCCAGCACTCTCTTGACTTCTCCGATTTCTGTCCTTTTCTTTTAGAAGCAGCTCCAACTACTCTCTCCCCAACCGCTTGATCAAACATCTCTTAATTTTTTTTCCTGTGCCTCACTTCACATATTACATCGATCCAGTAAGAATTCTTCCTGTTTCCTCAACGCTCCTATACAACACGCACTGCTACTTTGTCTCTCATCTAACATCCCAGGAAAAAAATCGTAATTTAAGAAGTAGGTTCTGTGCAATACAGAAGAAAACAATATGGCTATAAATTTCGATGGCATCAGTTCAAGATCTCCATAACTTGAACTGTCAAAGCCTACTACAGCTTGGTAACACTTGTAACAAGCAGCAGATGTAATACAGCTTTTGTTAGCTGATTTTAGAAGACAGCTTTGTATCTGGTGAATCTGGTACAGAGTTCTAAGTAAAAGAGAGAAAAATCAGTCTGGATTCTCTAGTTATTGCTCTCACACTTGAAAAATTTTCTTACCTTGGATAGCGTGAGATATTTGCCTCCTAAACAATAAAAGGTATTGTTTATCATGGTTAAAAAAAAACAAAGAAAAACCCCAAAGATAACAGCTAGCCTATTTAAGAAAATCAGGTTATTATTCAGTGAAGCTCTCAAAAAGCTTACTCAAAAATTAGCGTTTCAGAAAGTTCTAAACCGAGAGTTGTAGTTAAGACTTTTTAAGCCCCCTGTTGAAAATGAGACGGCTAAGACCAGGTGGAAAGCTTAGTTGTAGGAGGAAGAATTAGATATAACTAATATTTTGAAAGACTGGATACAACTATGTAATATTTTTAAAAGAAAAGGTAGATTTTTTTTCAGAGGTATTCATTAATAATTTTTAATTTAATTCATCAAGATAAATGTTATTTTTATTTTCAGTGTATTATTCCTCTCACTTATTTTCAAATAATTCAGATTCTTTAACATAAGTAAACAGTCATTATCAAGTTCCTACACCTCTATGCAACCAGAAATAAATATATCACAGAATCTTTGCCAAAATGTGCAATTATGTAAAATCACCTCAGCTGAAAGCAGTGAGTCGATACTTATTTTCCACTGTTATCATAATAGTTGTTCAAGGATCACTAAGCATCTGACAAGGATATCTTTTCATTTCCTCTCTGTATTAAGTTGCTTGTATACATGAAATGAATAAACCACATCACAAAATAACTACAGTCAATTGTCTAAAGATAGTACATCTCAGCAAAACGGCAGGCATGGTACTTACAAATGGGAGCCCCTTCTACACTAATTCAGCAGGTACTAAACATTAAAGTGGCATAGCATGATTTAATGAGCCTTTTAACGACGCAAATGAGACACAGAACAAAAGTCCAAAGTGCCCCTTCTGGGCAGTTATCAGCTAAAGGAAATCAGCAAGTAGAGGCACAAACTTATAGATATACATTTTCCTAAACTGCTGGCTTATCTTCTGCAATCAATTCCATGTCTACTCAAGACTACTAAATTACAGGTAAAACATTAAATACGTTTACACTTCCACCTTTTTGTTAAGAGATGTAACTAACATAACCTAATAGAAAGCAAGGACTGAAATCCAGAACTTCTGCTCCTATAGTTAAATCACTGGCCTAATGTGTTCATTTCACCTTGAATTACAGGCGAACGCAAAATTCACCACGGTCATTTGTGTCTCTCTCAAGCCCCTTCACTAAATAATCCCCTGCCTCCAAGAGTCAATGTAATGCGAAAAATGGCACTAAAACACTTCAAGACCATTTGCACTGTAAATACACGCAGGTAATATTATGCAGTATTTCCAACCACAGGTAAAGAGATATTTTCCAGAAAGCCAAACAGACCAATATTAGTTACATTCATATCCTTTTGTCGTAGAATACGCAGGCAGAGCCAGGTCAGGCAAAACCAGTTTATAGCTACAGCAGAGAATGCAGTGACAGACGTTCAGCCCTCTACCAGTACGGCCTCTGACTTAAAACAAAAGCACAAGGGTTTATATACTTTTATGGCAGATATAAAATGCTTTGTGAAGGGCCCTGATACGGCAAAGCAGCATCTGCATAGAAAGCAGCTTTGTTACAGCAGCTGTAACTGTGTGCCCCTGGTAACTCAAAACTGCAGCCCTACAGCCTCCACTTACATCTGTTCGGCTCATCCCTCTCTTTTGCCTGTGATGCTGCTGGTTCTTGACCAACTTTTAGGTCCAGCAAGGCCTGCCTCCACACTTTAAATCTTAATTAAACAAAATCCTGCACCAGCTTTTCCATTATTTTTTTCCAGGATTGATGTCAAGCACATGGGCCCACATTTACCTAACTTCTTCTGCTTGATAGTACTTTTTCAGTATTCAAGACAGACATTCCTTGGTCATCTTCAAAATTCCAGGAATTATGAGACATTAAAAATACCCATTTGTATAGTCTGCTCCATTGAGCAGTACTGATGCTTTGAAAGGCATTCAACTCCCTACCCCTCTACTACATAATTATATATCAAACAGTGGTGAAGTCAGCAAGCTTGCTGAAAATATTAAAATTACAGAAAAGTGAATCCTTTACAGGACCTCAGTACCTTCCAACAGTTTTGAACTGACACCATCTCAAACTTTAAATATTAATTTAACAATTATGCAAATTAAAAACAGGGAAGAAAAAAGCTCATCACCGGGGAAAAGTAGTAACAGATCAAATCAGAGGCTCCATATAGCCCCCAAATTCTGCACAACAGTCCCCAACAGCGTAAATCTAGGGAAGTCTGAGAACAAGGCACACACAGAGGGACACTTCCTCAGAAATACTCTGCCAGCCTCTAGCTATTTGCAGTTCAGGGATTTCTTAAGCCAGAGATTATGTCTTATTTATAAGATAACCTTCGAAGTATTTCTCCCATTCCGTTTTGAACCTGCACAAAATTGCTTCCACAAGATCCTTTGACAAGCTCTCGTATTTAATTATGAGTTACATCAAAAAATAAATCCTTCCTTTGTTTTGAATTTCCTGCCAGCCAGCTTCATTCAACACTCCCTACTTCTTACATGAGAAAATAATAATTTCTTATTCTATCCACCCTTCTATGATTTTACAGACAGCTACACCACACACTTCTCAGTCATCTGTCTTTGAGACTTGAAGACCTCTACTCTACTCTACTCATACCATCCTCAGTCATGCCTCATATATAATTTTTTCCAAACTGTTGGTTATCCT